CCAAACTGCAGCACGTAGTCGGCGTCGGCGCACCTTGCCGCCTTTTGTTTTGTTCATCTTACGGGCGCAGGTTTCCTCTTCAAAAATCTGAGAAACTTTTAGTTTTCCGAACTCAACTCCAGTACTGTACGACACTTCCATCGTAAGGTTAGCCGCCCGTCCCCCCCCCCCCCTCGTGTATACTGTCAGTACAATTTTAGTAGCTGAGGTTGTGGCCACTACTACTGTAGATAGCACAGGGTTAATGAGCCGCGGGGTAGTCGCTCAATACCTTGCAGAAGTCTGTGTATCTACGGTGCTTTGGTGCGGTGGCGGGTGGCTGTCGAACATTTGTTGAATCCGATTCACAACACAAAATAAAATGTTCCTTGAACGAACGGCCGTTGGGATTCGCGAACTGTACAGCAGTACCGTAGGAAACACCAGACACCACACCCCCTGTACCAATTTCAAAGCTCGGTTGCTCCACATCACAAATGCCCGTGCCGCTAATGGTGGTGTGGGAACCGTCTCGTCGAGAGCTTTCCGACAACGTTTCGCTGGGTTTCGGATCCTCTTCGACGTGAAGTACTCGAGCTTTCATAATCGATACACGGGGTGATGTATCCTCTGTCACTTGTGGTAGAAGACGGCATGCATACGTTCCCCCACCGATTTGTTTTTTTTAGGTGGTTTCTCTGCACAGCGTAGCGCTGCGCTGCAGCAACTGTAAAGCCATTCCCCGCGAGATGTGCGTATGAAACGTCTTGTGTGGCGGTTGATAGAAGGCACGGAGCCATAGGACCCACGGAAGCTGAGGTGGCGAGAGTCGGCAAAATGCATGCATGCGAGCAAAAACACCCGCCACCACGAAAAGAGGCCATTTTTCCCGTGGCACACAGCTCTGTTTCCAAGGGTGACCCCTCCACACACACCGAAGCAGCAGCAATAACAAAGGTATCTGCCACGAACTGTGTCCAAGATCCGTGTTGTGTGGTGATTGATACAGACCAGGAGGCTGTAGGACGCTCAGAAATTGCGAGCGCACGAGTCTGGCACTGCCTGAAAGAAACCCGCCGCGTCTGCTCGGCTCAGGTTGTAGCTTTTCTGCCCGAGGCACTGGTTTACCGATGATTCCTCCCCACACACCGAATCAGCAACAATGACAGGCATCCGCCACGAGCTCTGTGCATGGCTCTTTTCCCCCGCCGGTGCTGTCTTGCCCCTCCCAGCGGTGTTGCTTGTTTAGCTGAGTGCTTCCTCTGTTCCTCCTGGTTTAAACCAAGCGACTTGCGTGACTGTGTGTGTGTGTGTGGAAGATATCCGACGTTTTGTTCCCCCATTACCTCTCAACTCCCCGGGGATGGGGGTGAGCTACTCCTATGGTTTTTGGGTACAAATGCCGGTGAAGTACGGCCATCTGCTGTCGGAGCGCGACCAAACCGGTGCGGTGAAGATTGCCCTATTTTCCTTCTTCCTCACAACCCAGCAGATCGTCAATCGGTGCTCTAGGACCTCGTTCTGGTCGATAAGGAGGGCAAATTTAGACGGTCGTTTATTGAAACTCGGCCCCTGGTAGATAGAGCCTGCTTTTTCCGTCCTGGGGCGGAGAGAAAAGAACGGTCGCGCTTCGCGCTCCGCGGCTCATTGCGATCCATAGAAGCGGTCGACGATTTTCCAAACTACCCTTTTATCATCGAGTTCGGGGTGTGCATCGGAAAATATCCGTCCGCTACTCCCCAGTCGTGTACAATGTTAGGATCGAAGATTGTAGCCCTTGTGATACCTTACAGGCCGGTAATTTTCCAAACGCATCGGGATCGGTGGGCTACAGACAAGCAGGATTTTTGTAGGTGCGGTGGGGTCCGATTTTGAAACGCTTCAAGCGCCTTTGCTGTTGGCCTGTAAAACTATTTTCATATTTGCAAATTCTTTCACCAGAGTCTCAGGAATTTTGTTTGGGCTGTAAGAGACTTTGCACTGATTCTCTCCAGCCGTCGGGCCACCTGTCGCTGAAGTTGTGGTCTGTCTTGTCGAACAGCCCGGCAGAAGACGTCAGCTTCAAGCAAAAATGTTCGCGGTGAACAGCTGATTCTGATCTGATGTTGAGCCATTTGTCAGCACATGTCAACAACAGCAGAGCGTTGCCGCGGCAGCTGTCCGAGCGGCTGTGGAGCGAGCGTGTACGTGCGGGCGGGCATCGACAGGGGAAAAGAACATACGCGGTCAGAGGAAGACCGCTGTCGACAGGATGCAATTCAAGCCACATATTTGTTTTCTGTTCAGTTCTGTCATACGGCGGAGACGTTGTGGACTGCTGTCTCATCTCGCCTCGTCCCCACCGGATTTTTGAGACGTCACGATGCTACGGGCACTACCTTATACTGTTCGCACGCTGGAAACGCACTCGTATATACATCCGTCGTTTGTTCTTCGCTGCCCTTTCGAGTGTGTGCGTTTCCTTGTAGAAAAACCCCGCTGATGACGCCGCTCAAGTCGTCTGCTGGCCATGATTTTCCGACTGCTGAACTATGCATACAATAGTACAGCAGGCCCATGCACTGTAGTTTCCAGCAGAAGTCGAGCCATTGAAGCATGTGGTGGCGGTGTCAGCAGACATCCCGAGCAATGCACACCATCTATCTCCGCGCAGGCCGCTGAGCCCGAGTTCGGGAGGTCGGCACGCACGTATGTTCGCATGCGGACTTTCAACCAACAAAATCCAGAACACGAACACTTGTTTGCAGCAGAATTCCTGCATCCTTTATCAAGGAAAAAACCTGGCGCCAACCTCCCAGAAATGGCGCGAACCCTTTTATTGGTCTGTTTCCTCTGATTGCGTTTTGCATGTTCTCGCATCACCCCTTGCCGCGGTGCTCTCTTTACCCCACTCCGGAGGTAGCCTTGTATACCTACACGCACATGACGGCAGGTATTCACATCGAGTATGGCGTGTGAGGGAAGAGCTGCGCTGAAGTTCGCGGTCCCACACACTCATATGGGCGGTGATTCGTCGTCACTGTGTGCTTGAAGCGTTTCAAGGTCGGGCCGCACAGCAGCTACAAAGCTGGTAGTTTCGTACTGGAGTTTGACTTTGGAAAACTAAGTTTTGCCCACGTTTCCTGGATTATTAAGAGGAAAACTGCGTACCCAATTGCGCCTTTCAAGACGCGCTCACACACACAGCATGTACTTCTGACGTAAAGGAGCTCCAATCCATTGTCACTCTGGAGCGTTCCTCCCTCGTTGTTGGAACTTGAAAAGTGAAACCGTTGCAAGAAGAAGTGGCTTGATTGAGCACCAACTTTCCCCAAACCCCGTACACAGAACGACTTCAACAGCAAGCAAACTGTAGCAACCATTTTGCGGCGTCGAAAAGCGGAATAGAACCGTGGGTAGACGACTTACATTATGAACAGTCAGAGCCATTTCTCCATTCTACAACCTCCCGCCAAGAGCCGAGGATGCGTCCTACGGAAGAAATCCGCACCAGGACTACGAATACACTGCCTGTCTACACGCAGTGCATATCGCACGAGGAGAGGCTTTGTTGTGCTGTACGCGCTACACTTGCTTTTGCCTCCCGTGCCCCTCAGATACGCATCCCGAGGGCTGCGCTGCTGCCCTTTTCATGGTTGCGTGGTGTCGTGGTGGGAGGTGGCAGAGCGTTAAGAACGCGTTTTGGAAGCATCGTCCAATCTGCGACTTTGATGTTTGTTGTTGATGACCAGACAACGTAGGTTGGTGTTCTCTCTCCTCGCGTACCCGAGGTCACCAAAACAAACACCAGTAAGCACGTCCCTTCCTTGGTCGTGCCGGCGTTTTCAAATGTTGGCTAGACTATGCCGCACCTCGCTGTGTCAATTCGTGGCAACAAAGCGCGAACAGCGCCATCATCAGGTCCTCCCAAATCTTACATTAACGAGATATTGATTAATAGACACTACCCTCCATGATATATTTGATCGTTCTTTTTTTTTTCATATGACCAAGGTGCAAGACTTCTGAGTGACAACCACCAGCAATACCCGCCCTCTTGACATCGGCACCTTAGCGCTACCCCTTCCGTCGCCGCCATCGTCTGTACCACAGGCAGGCTGAGGAGATATGGCGACGGCAAGAGAACAGTTGGCGGGCACTTCGGAGAAGCTTAGGTTGGCGTTTTCAAACCTTTCAGCGGTCGAGGAAGAAGTCGGAGCTCGCACGTCTGGTCTTGGTTCCCTCTCTCTGTCACAAGCAGCTTCAAGTGTGTCTCAAGCAGCCAGCATGGCGAAGGCGGAAGCAGTCAAGGTCGTGAAGGCGGCAGACGCAGCAGAGGCGGCGGCCGCCAGAGCGGCTGAGGTGGTATCCGTAGCTCAAGCGGCAAGAGCGGCGGCTGCGGAAAAATTGACAGCGGTGAAGGCGGCAGTCGAATCATCAGAGGCGGCACAAGCTGTGGCGGCAGCCTTGGAAGCGGACATTGAGCCACCGGCGGGCATGGCGTACGTGTATGCCCTTATTTGACGTCGTGGGATAGCTACTTGCGTGTTCGCTTTGGCGGGGCTTCCTTTTTTTGTCAAACCGACGTCTCGAGTATCGTCTGTTCAGATCGTTCGATCTTGAATGCTCACATGGAGAAACATTTCGCACTGGCCGTGTCGAAATGCCCCACACCCCGCCACGGTGCTGTAGAGCTGACCGCGAACTGCTGTGGTTATGACAACGTATCACTAATGTCGCCCCTTGTTCCACCACGTTTGTCCCGTTGTTCCTATCACCTCATTCAGGAGATTGCCGAGCGGCGGCAAGAGCGGCAGTGAGGCACAAAGTGGGTCAAGAGCTTGGACGACAACAAAGAATGGCCTGATTGGCGTGACACTTGATACTTGATGCTTGATGGTGTATGATCATGAGCCTGAACTGCGTGCCAATAGCGTGTTCTGCCATACCACCTACATGGTCCCTTCGTGACATCGTTGCAACGTTCGAAACGACGTCGTGTCGATTTTCGTGTGTTGTATCAAATTTTACGCGCAGGCGCGATGTCCTCTTCTGGTTCTCAAGTCGAGCATTACGATGTTAATGTGGCGATCAAGGTGAGTTATTCTAGTCTTGCGCGAGGTGCGCTTATCGGCCGCATGAAGCACCGAAAACACGATACTACATCCCTTCCCGTTTCGTACGGATTCAGGACAATCGGAATGAAAAATCTCCACCGTCCTTCTACACTCATTAGCTGTGCGGCTGCCCGTTGACGACTGTCCCGCCTCCGTGTCGCAGGCCGACGAGTCAGAACTGTCTGAAGATGAAGAGGAGCACAGCACCTCACCCACCGTTAAAGCGACGCCAGAGGTTGGAACTACCCATCAGCAGAGGCGGTCCGAGGTAGGTACCTGTGGGCGTTGTAGACTCGTACGGTGTATTGTTTTGCGTGCTTGCAGCAGTAGGAGGGTGTCTCGGCCAACGATGCCCTTGACTGAAGTTGCCATAGCAGCGCGTGGTCCAATTTGAAAGCTGATCAGGCCATGATCAAAACGTATATGGGCCCCTTGATGACCGCCTAATGGTCGAGGCATTGCCTTACATCCAGTTTGTGGCCGTTTGGTGGCAACGTTGTGCTGGGCATGGAACTTCTCTTGCACTCTCCCGCCCACCAAGGCGTGGCGGCAGAGAAGCATCATCGCGGCCGCAGATTTCGGAACTGGCAAGACCGAGTTTAACCAACCAATAGACGGAAGCGACGTAGTAATTCTCGGTGATATTCGATGTCCGAGCTATGTCATGGAGTAGCACTGGTTCTAGCTCTCGCTGCGGGCGAATGTTACATGTATACGGGGTATTCGTTTCTCGCCCGTGTGATACTGCATGGTGCTGTGCCGATGCACTGTTGGGTGTCATCCACAGCACACCCACGGGGGAGATCGAGAAGAGGAAGAGGAAGAAGAGAAAGAGCAGGAGGGGCAGGAGGAGGAGGGGGAGGGGGAGGGGGGGGTGGAGGTGGAGGGAGAGGAGGAGAGGGACGAAGAGCGGGAGCGGGAGCAGGAGCAGGAGGAGGAGGAGGAGGAGGAGGAGGAGGAGGAGGAGGAGGAGGAGGAGGAGGAGGTGGGCCAACGGTGTTGACCGCGTGTTCGCCCTGAGTATGCGGTAGCGGCGTTTGATGCCTGATGAATCGAGATCCTATCGCTGGAAATCGTGATTATTGCGTCCAGCAGGTGATATTTCACGAGCTTTAGGCAGCATCGCTGGTGCGGCCGATGGCGAAGGTAGGGACTCCTTTTCCTTCAAGATTGGTCCTCTGATGGACCTGCGTAGAAAATTCCCGTTCAAGATACCACAACCACAACTCACGATCGTGACTCCACCAGTAGCCTCTGCTTTGTGAAACACATCTGGGAGCTGTTTGGCAAATATCCACCTCCACATCAACAAGGCGATTCACAAGCCCCGCGTTCGCGTTGAGATACTGCGGTTGACCGGACTCTACGCGAAGGTTATGTTGCCCGTGTAGTTTGGTCTGTATAGCACCGGAGCCGTCTAGGTGCAATAGCATTAATGAGATCCACTGTTTGTCGTTGTGCCATGCTTCGCTGCAGGCACCGTGGCGAGGTAAGCGCAAGCTCGGGGACACTGGCAAGGCCCCCCGTCGGCAGAGCGTTCGGGCAGCCGGTAGATCGCAACCAAACTACGCCGAAAGGTGAGCGAAGGTAGTTCGACATGATGAGACGTCCTGCGTTAGTGACAGGGCCGAATGCGGGGATCATCTGCTTGCGATTCTGAGGTCTTCGGAATGCCTGGTTCCTTTTGTCCATCGTCTCAAGCTGAAGTACCATGATCTCAACCGTCTTCAATACGACTACGAACAAGTCGTGGCCTGATAACTGGTGCAAGACTGCACCCCCATCCCACAGCATGGCACTGGAATTCAACCCAGAAGGGTAGCATTCTGCTCTGTAGGTATATCCGCGAACTATCCACATCTCAGAGCAAATATTCGAAACCAGGTTGGGTGAGCTTGTTGGGCCACGCTGCTGACGTAGAGGAGTGGTGGCCTTTTCAACATGACATGACAATCATATACTGGTACTTGATAAAGCAGTTTGACAGGATCAGGCAGGCTGGATAGATGGGACTCATGTACCTGTCCCCTCACATAGAACAGCAGCAGCTGTGACACACATGCGCGGTCGCATGTACGTGCAAGGTGCGGGTGTCGCTCGCTTGTTGGGTTTGTTCTACTATAAGTTGCTGCAATATACGACCGACCCAAAAGGATGGTTTCGAATCCTTCAAAACGAGTGGCGAGACCCAACGCCCTTGTTGTCGTCGGGGATGCGTTCAGATTGGGGAACCCACGTATGAAACACGCAATGGCACACGCTTGGAGCCTGCCGAAGCTGTGCAAAGCCATAAGTGTTTGCAGCCCGCAGTAGGTTCGGGTGCGTTTGCTGGTGCCTGTGCTCGGTTGTTTATTGTGTGTCGCATTCACACACGTGTACGCAGGGGCACCCGCAATTCCTCTTTGTACTAGCGTTTTTTGGATTGTTTAACCGACGTCTAGTCCTTGGTCAGACGGTACGCGTTGCTCGGTCGAGAATTTAGAATGAAAAGCGAGGGCTCGAAACTCCGCGCGATCTTGACCCTTTCCACCGTAACCCACGTTGTTTTCCCGTTCAAAGACAAGCCACATGGGCCACCCCGGGGCCTGTGCTTTCTTGGCATCGACTAGACGCGCCCATCAAAACGCTCGGCACAATCGACGAACGGTTGGTGTTGTAGGGGTCTGGCAGCTTTCGCCGCCCCGCCCAATAGATCGATTCCAAGATACGCCATCGGTGGTACTCAACATTCGTGGCAGCGGTGGTACAAATGTATTGAAAATGATTTTAAATATGGATCGGTGCAGAAAGAGGGCGTGCTCGATTCGTGTCATAGCAGTACATGTATCTGACAAAACATCAAAATGAAATAGATGAACGGGGCGTGGAAGTGCTGGCGGCTTTCGTCGCCCCGCTCAATAGACCTCGATCTCACCGCCAGATGTTCGCCAGGCGGCTGCTCGCATCGTTCATCGTGTATCAACTGAGTAGATATCCGTACATTGCGGCAGCAAGCTGTATCGGATAGCGCGGCACACAGTTCAAATATACGTACATGCGGACCGCGAAGTTCCCACTGTGGAGTGCGAAGTTTAAGTACGATTGCTCGGCCACAACATACGTGTGGACTGGAGTGCCAAACGTACTTGAGCCTCGCAACTGGAATGAACGACCCCGGCGAGAGAAAAGGACTGGGCAACGAACTGACCAGATCGTTCGAGCTACTGCTATGCTGGTGTCATCAGCTGCTATGCATAGTTTCCGCTTAACGGGAAAGGGAGACCGCGGAGCGACGGAGAATCAGAGAAGAAGCGCCGCGTCGGTGAACAAAATATGAAACAAATGTGCTGTAGATGATTAACGGGCCCGCCGAGTGACGGTCTGACCCATGAGCCCCGCCAGATTGATTGAGGGTCCGCTAACCGATTCATCCGGTTTCCGCAAGCATGCGAGACGCAAACAGTGACGTATTGGCATGTGAGAACAAAGGCGGAACGATGGACGGAAAACATCAGAAGATCCCGGATGAGAGATAAACTTTAATGCAGAATACGACCTGTGAGAGCCTGACATGCAATAACGTGAGAGCCGAGAACATGCCGGTGTATGAGAGGGCAGAGAGGCTGGCACAATACGTGGTGTATGGATGGATGGGGACCAGAGAAAAGGTTCCACGAGCGAGCGACGCAGCGTGAGAAGACATAAATAAAGGGAGAGCGGAGAAACGCAAAATGACGACAAAGCGAACGTAATGTTCACATGAATGTACAACGTACCGATAACCCGTATGAGAGCCCGACATGGGAGAACGGAAAGACAGACGGGTGTATGAGAAGAGAGGAGAGGAGAGAGAGAGAAAGAGAGAGAGAGAGAGAGAGAGAGAGAGAGAGAGAGAGAGAGAGAGAGAGAGAGAGAGAGAGAGTGGCATAGAATGACATGCGTCGTGGATGGGGAGCAGAGGAAAGTGGCGAACGGTTCCGCGAGCGAGCGAGCCAGACGCGAACGGGGCAAACACAGAGCGAGAAAAACATGCATGCATACCACCTATCTATCTATATCCCACGGAAGCGGAAAGATAAAGAAGCGCTCGAAAGATCCCGGAGATCCCGGAAGGACGCAAATGCCGCTCTGTGAGCAGCCGAGAGAGAGCCGAAATGGAGCGCTCTGAGAGCCCGAGAGAATTTTCCGCTGGTTAGAGAGCAAACGTTCTATATGAAGTAAGGATACAATTGCCTGTCGCTTCGATCCCACCGCTGTTTTGTCGGCGCTCATCTATGTCCAATTCGTACCTTTTCGATTGCCAGTCCTACAAGAGAGCCGACGAAGCGCCAACGGAAGGCCTCCGAGTCAGGAACAGGGGAAGAATGCAGGCGCGGTGAGGCGGCGCAGTACCGAAGACGGTGAGTTTGAAGTTTTGTTTTTCAGCCTTCGAATTAAAAACATGATGATAGTCCGTGTATCGTGCATGCTGTGCTAGGCTTTGTGAAACACGCCACTCCCACTGTCCTCTCTCAAGACGCTTATTGGTGACATCGTTGGGGTAGCGGGATGCTCTTGTCGACAGGGTTGGTGCCATGCATCACGCCCGCTGTATCGACACAACATGTACCGACCACGCTTGCAACTCTCGTGAGTGTACCCCAGTTTCGTTGGAATTGGTTATGCTTGCCCACACATCTAGTCTTGAATGTTTGGGGATGTGAGGGTGCTTGGGGAAGTCGCGAAGGGACAAGTACCGACACGGTGAAGCTTTCACTTGATCTCTCATGACGGAGACCACTCAAACACGCATTCTCTTGCGCCTACAGACTGCTGGATGCTTAACAGCATTAAAATCTTGTGGAGAATCGCGTCCGATTTTCGGGTGCGGTGGTTGCGGGGTTACCTTTTCAGTCTTCAAGAAACTTGGTTATTCCAAAACCGTGAACGTGCCCGATCAACCCATGCCAAGACGTGGTTGCAGATATCAGATTGGCCCGTCTAACGTTGACGATGATCGCTGGCTCCAGCTCATGGGCGATCCATGTGCATAACAACGAACTCGTCGCGCACAGCCACGCTGCTTCCAGTCATGAAAAATATATGCATCGAGTGGAATTGGAGAAGAGAGGCAAGGTTTCCCACAACTCGATGGATCCCGTTTTCCCCGTGTTTTGAACATCGCATGACGGGCGGTGGATAGGTTTGGTCAGAAAACACGCTTCTGTAGCTTTTGGCGGAAGTCGTCCTTGAAGAGCCGACTGTGTTGCAGACCCCACGCATCTAAAGACGACAGCAGCAAGTCAGCTTTTCGTCAATGCTGTTCTCGCGTGGGAAGAAGATACAGCATTGAACGGACCACCGGCGAGCGTGACAGACGGAAATCATAGACTTGACGCAGAATGCAGTACCGTAGGTGACACAAGATACCGCACCCCCTGACCCGTTTTGAACGCTCGAATACTCAACGACGAAGAGTATGCCATATCAAACTATACGGTTATTGTTATGGTTTCGAATTGTCATTTTCCGTTAATGTTTCTCGTAACGTGAGGGGAAGAGGGAGAAACCACACTGACAGAACACGTTCCCCGCAGGCGCTCTCTGCGCCTATCCTACCGTGTCTCTGTCCATCAGTACTTGTACTGGCTCTCCCCCTACCCTAACAATAGCGGCCGGGGTTTATCTCTTTTAACTGGTGTGGGCAGCTGTTCCTACTGTACGTAACACCTCAGACGACCAAGTCCCCAAATGATACCCTGCCGTTCACTTTACCCATTGTATCCCTTCCGTTCTCTCAGCTTCGAAAGAAAAGGGTGGGTGGGACGGAAACAACACATATTCTTGGCCTCCAAACCTGGCCAATCCTTAGTATCCCTCTCTGTCAGTTCACGTACTGCTGTGTAGCTCTCCTGTTCTACGCTGCCCAGTGTACCTTCTCCTTGCACGTGAGTTCTCCGAGAGAGCGATTACTCCAAAGGCTCCTCTTCGAACGCTGTTACCCCGAAAATACGGGAACAAAACGCATCTGGCAAATCGACGGTGTCAATTCGACGGTTTCAATATACAGCAGTCGGTATCGGCTATGCCTACACAAACTTTTTACGGAGTAATGTTTTTCGTTCAAATTGCCATTTTGCATTTGTTTTTTCCCTTAACGGGAGGGGATTTGAGAAACCCCGCAGACAGAACATGTTCCCCGCAGAAGCTCTCTGCGCCTATCCTACCGTGTCTCTGTCCATCAGTACTACTGCTGTCTCTCCCTCTCCCCGAAGAATAGCAGCCGGGGTTTCTCTCTATTCACCGGTGTGGGGAACTCTTCCTACTGTACGTAACACCTCGGACGACCAAGTCCCCAAATGGTACTCTACCATTCACTTTATCCGATCCGAAGTCGTCATGAGATCCTCGCCACAGTAGAACAGAGTATCTTCATTCCACTACCCCACACCATGTTTTCCCCCTGCTGTCTCACCACTCCTTTTCTTATCGCCTAATACACAATGCACAGGTCGTGAACCCTCCCCGCTACTATGTAACTGGTTCATACGCATCTGACTTCCACCTCCCTGTCTTCTAAACCTCGTTGCAAACCTCTCAACCACAAGGGCATAGGCCCTTCCGCCCTGAAGCGAGTGCAAGGCAACGTCCTTTGTTTCCGCCACAACGTCTTGACAATCTCTCCACAGGCTCGCAGATCCTGACTTTTGCCTCAACACTCTGACTTCACGGCCGCTACGGAACGAGGATAGTGGGACGTAATCGGGCAGCGTCGCATGACCAGACATCGCCACCATCATAACCAATGGCTCCGCCGTGTGCTCTGTACCCCGATTGCATGTTGCTAGCCTTCTCCCGTACAAGCCTTTACTTCTCCGATGAGCAACACAAACAAACAAGCTAGCTGAGGGTTACACGCAACCACGGACGTCTTCCCCGTTTCCCACGCTGGAATTGAGCTTTCATTGTTAAACAACTTTGTCCGCGTAATGAGCAAACATATCGTTGGCAACGCCTTGAGGCACAGCCCGTGCCCTTGTGGACTCGCGGGACCCCCTCCACTGCGGTTGACTCTGCCGGTGCCATTTCTGCCGTTGCCTCGGCGTCCTCCGCCACTATCTGTTGCAGCCCCACCCAGTTCTCCGCGTCACGTATCAGTATTCCGCGCGCTCCCGCCGCCATTGCGTCCGCTCCCAGCACTCGTGCGGCGGATGGGTTGTTTAACATGGTCCAAAACAAAGAAAAAAAAAAAAAGCCGGTCGCCCCGGTGATCTAGTTGGTAACCTCGAAACCTTTTAGAGGCCAGGTCAGGGGTTCGAATCCCGGCGTAAGCGAGCTTTTCTTGCAAAGTGAGTTTTTCTCTCGCTTCCGCTCCTGGCCTAGTGGATAGCGCTAGTTCGTGTGTACACAGAGGGAAGAGAGTGCTGGATTCTTCTCGCATTAAAAATCGAAGGCAAAGTACCGCAGGAGGGGAGGGTAGAGAGTAGAGAGGGGTCTTCTGTGAGACCACGGGTTGGAGTAAACGGCACTTGTGCTGTGAGCGCTGATTTGAAGCGAAGGCAAAAAAAAAAAAAAAAAAAAAGGGCAGTTCCGGTGGGTGCAATCCCCGTGTTTACCCTCCGTGAAGCACTGGCGGTCGCCGGAATTCTCCGGGCGAGACGCTCGGTGGGAGACATGATAGGGTGGTGGCCATGGATGATGACATTGCGCAATCCGCCGGAAACGATAAAATCCCCGGTAATGCTCCACTGAGGCCCAATAGCTGGGGGCATGGACTCGATGTGCGGCGGTGTCGGGTGCTGCTTCTTGGACGCCAGAGCCCTGGTAAACCATGTGGATGTCCACTGACCGAACTCCTCATCGATCATGTCCACCATCACTTTGAAGGTGGCGACGTTCGTTCATCTTTGACCGGTGTTCGCGACAGTGGGCGCGGATCATCTCAGTTGCTTCCCGAAGCCGTTGTCGAAGTATCCCCAGCCGCGTAACCCCGTCCTCCGACACCCGAAGAAGGTGCTGGAATTCAACCCAGAAGGGGGTAGCATTCTACTCTGTAGGTATCCGAGACCTATCCACATTGCAGCGAAAATATTCGAGACCGGCTCGGGTGAGCTTGTCAGAGCACGCTGCTGCTGTGGAGGAGTGGGGGCCTTCTCAAGGTGCCATGACAATCATACTTGATACGATTGGACAGGATGGGCAGGTTGGGTAGATGGCACTCATGTACCTGCCCCCTCACGTAGAGCTGCAACAGCTGTGACACACATGAGCGGTCGCGTCGCTCGTGTGTTGGGTCTATTCTACTACTGTAGCTGCAACATACGCCCCAAAGTGATTATATTGAACATCCTCCGAAACGGGTGGTGCGATCCAACGCCGTTGTTCTCGTTGGGGACGCGTTCTGATTCGGAATAATGCATTGACACACGATTCGAACCTGCCGAAGCCGTGCAAAGCCATACTGCTTTGCATACCGCAATGGTTTCGGGTGCGATTGCTGGTGCCCGAGCTCCGTTATTGCCTGTGTGTCGTATTCACACGCATGGGCACCCGGAGGTTCCTATGACTACTGGTGATTTTTGGAGTGCTGTGACCGACGTCTAGTCCTTGATCAGACGGTACGCGTTGCGCGGTCGAAGATTGCAATGAAAAACGAGGTCTCGAAACCCGGCGCGATCTTGTTCCCTTCCATCGTATACCACGTTGTTTTCCCATTCATCATGTATAAGACCAACCACATGGGCTTCTGGATTCTCGGCAACGATTAGATCCGTCCATCAAAATGCTCGGCACAACCTACGAACCGGGGGTGTTGTAGCTCGATTGTATTTGTACAATCGCCTGTCGTTTCTAACTCATCGCTGTTTGTTTACCCTCGCCTACGTCAAATGTATCCCTATTCGATTATTCTGTAGCTTCAGTCTCATCTTTCAATATACGTGGAACTTTATTCGCATAGCCCACCCCTTGTGCGACCCGGTCTCAAATGCCGATCTCGAGCTGCAGTGTAAATCTCGTGGCGCCTCGAGTATGGTTCGGTGTGGAATCGCAAATCATGAGCCGTCCCCGAGTTTGAGCAGCTTCCGCCTCCTGTGGCCGGCAAGAGTTGACCTTGACTGTTCCTTGCCCTGTTTTGCCATGGGAATGGCCGGTTGAACAGCGAAAGAGGGTCCTGCGTGCTGCGCGCCACATCTTTTTTTATTATTTTTTGCGTTTGTTCTTGAGTGACCTCTGTGCACATACATGCGGCTGCTGCTGCGGTTGCTGCTTTTATGGTCGGAATGTGCTGCAATGGTCGTACGGTTGTCGTAGTCAGGTTTGACAACCGTCTGCTCGTTCGTATAGCGTTAGTGGTGCGCATCTATCGCGACGGCAAGCGCATTGAGATAATAGTTCGTCCGTCGTGCTTCTAGTCTACACAGATAGATAGTGGTGTTCTTCTTTGTTGCCACTTCATACCAGAAAAGAAAGAAAGTCGCCACCAACTTACAGTATCTCCACAGCAGTTCGGAAACGACGACTAGACTATTTTTCTTTTGTCGTGTTTATTGTTGCTGAGCGCACATCGGATGTCGCCGTTCGTTACACGTGTTCAAGCCTGCGGTGGGCCAGAGGGATAAGAGTGGGTGTCTTCTCTAGAGTTCATGCCTTGTCTTCTCGAGTCTCCCTTCCTTTAGTCTACCTCTCTCTCTCTCTCTCTCTGTTGCATTTTTGTCGTTGGGGTCCCAATAACATCAAACGTCAACGGCAATCGTTTTGCATCTTGCTGAGTAGGAGGCTACCCGTGTACCCGGTTGCTGCATGTGAGGCGATGGGCGCCGCCTCTTTCCGTCAAACAATGCGCATGGCCCCTAAGGTTCACCGCACATGCAGTGCTGTGTGACAGCTTCCAGCGGTTCAGAGCGGCGACGATGTTTTTTTTCGCCGGTAGGGCCCCAGAACAACGCGAACCTCGACTGTTTCATTGTTTTGAGGTCCCCCCATTCACCAACCTACCCATGAATTTTGTTTTTTTGTGTTTCCCTGTCGACTAACAACCTCGGCTACTGCAGTGCAAATTTCATGGCGCCTCAAGTACGGTTCCGTAGGGAATTGCAAATCACGACCCCTCCCCGACTTTGAGTATAGCTTCAACCTCCTGCGGCCGATAAGACCGACGTCAAACCCTAGATTTTGTCTGTCTGTGTCGCATGTGGCCATCCACGAACAGCAAGCAGTTGGAGAGTCACAATATAGAGGGTCCGCTTCGCCACCAAGAAGACAGTTTTTTCGATCCTTCTACAGCTGGATATGATGCTACCATATTCGGGTACAGCTGTGGTTGAGCTTGAGGGATAGGGTCTACGGCAGCATAATATTCTGTGCGAGGAGTCAACGCCTTCCTCGCGTAACGATGCGCATCTCCCACGGCAAGCAGAATGAAGTACGTCATCATGACGCTATTTCTTGTGGCTACAAGTTCAAGTTCGCCCGGGCGTTATTGTTCTTACCGGAGAGAGAGACTAAACTTCTACTACAATACGTACCAGTCCGTGTACCCGGGTACTGCATGTTGTGAGGTAGTGGGTGCTGCCCCTGCTGTTTACTGCGGTACATGGAAAGCTTCCGGTGGGTCAGAGCGGCAAGGGGGCCTTGTTTCTTCACTTGTTTCTTAGCTCTGCTCTCCTCTACTTCTTTGTTTCCTGTCGCTGGCGGTCTTTCTTTTGTTATCGCCCTTCGTTCTTGCTTGCAAGAAACTGTGAGGATTTTGTTTTTTGTTCTTCACTTCAAATCAGCGCTCACAGCACTAGTGCCGTTTATTCCAGCCCGTGGTCATACAGAAGAGCCCCTCTCTACCCTCCTCTCCTGCGGTACTTCGCCTTCAAATTTTATTGCGAGATGAGTTCAGCACTCTCTTTCCTCTGTGAACACACGAACTAGCGCTATCCACTAGGCCAGGAGCGGAAGCGAGAGAAAAACTCACTTTGCAAGAAAAGCTCGTCTACGCCGGGATTCGAACCCCTGACCTGACCTCTAGAAGGTCACGAGGCTACCAACTAGACCACCGGGGCGCCCGGCACTAGGATGTAAACATGTAAACAGGCTGATTCTGGCTGTTCCTTAGGGTCCCCCGTCCACCCACGACCCACCTGTCGGTTTGATCCGTGGTCTCCAATATTTTCAGCAGTCGTTAGTTGTCTACTACATACAGGACATGCGCTACTGCTAGCTACGTCCGTCCAGGGTGGGTGCAACAGAAGAGCCCCCGGGACTGGTGGCCTTCTGACTTGATCGCAGAGAGAGGTTCCTGCCACTACCACAATACGACTCTTATTAAATGTCCATAACGGGGAACGCGTACTAGTCTACGCCTCTTTTTCTTTCTTCTTTTTTCCCTCTCTCCCGTCCGTCTCTTTCGTTTCGGAGAGGAAACCTACTGTGAAAAGCGCATCTTCTGGGGTCCGCATTCAATAGTCCCGGATTCTTTCCCAGCGTGCGGAGAGCGCGTTCTGGTGTGTTCTCCTTTTTATTCGGGTGTGACGTACGCACTACATGTATGTATGTAAACGACAGAAACATATCAACGAGATGATTGGCGGCATTCTTGAAAGCATGGAGTCCCTCGGCACCAAAAAGTGCATGCGCATGGATGGGCGTAGTGAGAAGTGCCGGTCGAAGACTGACGTTTTTTTCGGGGGCGCGCGAGGTCGCCTCTATTTTTTTCTTCTTTATTGTCTAGTCTATAGCTACTACCTCGCGTAGCGTATTGAAGTGAGCGGGGGTTCCTAGACTAATCTGTCGTTGACTCGCGGACCCTTGTTACGGTCAATTTTTATTTTCGTGTAACTTTTTTAGGTAAGTTAGCCTGTGACCACGGCGGGGGTCGACCGCGTCAAGTGTCAGACTATACCATACTTGATATTAGTACGGACAGACGAAGAAGGTATAGGGTAGAGAGAGCAGAACGAACGGGATTGTAATTGATGGTGAAGACAACAACAACGGAACTGCTGGTTTCGTCCATGGATAGTTTTTGCAGCACTTATGAAGTATTAGCGTATAAAACGACTTCTTCATGGATGGGTTATAATGAGAGGTTTCAATTCAACTACTAAATAAAACAAAAAAATACACAAAACGGTAAGAAAATGGTGAGACCACTCCTCCCGTGTGTCCGCACATACTCGGAAATGTGTCCGCGCACATGCATGTATACCCGGTACATACGCGTACCACAGTTCGAAAATTGAGGAAGATCGCATGCCCTACGACTAAAAGGGTGCCACGCACAAAACGCCAGACTATCCAACAGTACCTAACACATTTCTTCTGCACCTTCCCAACATAACATATATGAAAGCTACCAAACTGTTTTGTTGAGCCTGTTACCCACAGGGAAGATGCCCCTATATGCTGTCTGGGAAATCGTAGACATACAGGTACTTTCTGAGGCTCGCTATGAATTCATTGCTAATCTGTCTCAGACTCTTTTCTATGATAGAGATGGATTCGTTGTGTCATATTAAGAAAAAAAACAAACTTACTGGAGTATAGAGGGTGCTCCTTGTTCTTATGC